GGGTGAGGCCTTCCCGCCAGCCCCGGCCGCGGAACCAAACCCAAGGGACGAGCGAGTGGGCCCTGCTGCCGCTCTAGGCCTGAAGCTGTGAATCAAGGCGTGGGTCGTGATGTCTTCAGTAATTCTCGGTGTTGTGTCTTTTTCCTGAATGACGGGCCTCTGGGTGGCTAGAAATAGCCCACTGCTTATCAAGAGCTGGCTGTCGTGACTCCTGGAGCAGGAGCTGTGTGTGTCTGGCAGGAAAGCTGCACAAGGTGCTGTGTAGCTGTTAAAAGCCGTGGGATCCCGTGAATCAAGGCGTGGGTCGTGATGTCTTCAGTAATTCTCGGTGTTGTGTCTTTTTCCTGAATGACGGGCCTCTGGGTGGCTAGAAATAGCCCACTGCTTATCAAGAGCTGGCTGTCGTGACTCCTGGAGCAGGAGCTGTGTGTGTCTGGCAGGAAAGCTGCACAAGGTGCTGTGTAGCTGTTAAAAGCCGTGGGATCCCGCAGGCAGAGCGTGTCTGTTGCCCGCTGCAGCCCCCGTCCCTGCCCGCTCTTAACGTGCCAGGAGTTGTGGAGGAAGATGCTCTTTGTGCGGGTTGGAGGTCAGCCGGGCATCCCAGCGGCTGTGGGTGGCTTGGGGGAGTTGGAGATGCAGGCAGTGGCTGTCTTCGTTTTCACAAGACGGGTCCTGGCACAGTGCCTCCCATCACACCGCCTCCCCTCAAGCCCTGTGGTGAGGGTGCTCCTGTTGAGTGGGAGCTGTGTGCTCTGGGCTGGGGCTCAGGGGGCGGCAGCAGCCCTCCCCCCATGGCACCCAGCAGGGCGGGCAGGCGGCTGCATGCTTGGCCATCTCCCAGGGCAAGCAGCACAGCCTGAGTGAGAGCCCACCTCCACTGTTGGAGCACATCAGAGGTGTGCAACCCGCCTGCTCCTGGCTTTCCTGAGCTGCAGGCTGCCTGGGTCGGTTGGGCAGTGTCCAAATCTCCCTGGTGGGTCATCAGCCCTTGCATTCCCCTGTGTCTGGCACCACTGGAGTCTAAGTCACCCTGTGGAGCCAAGGAGACATGTGAGTGGAAGTCCTGCCACTGCCCTGCTGCAGGGGCTGGGGAGGAGAAAGCAAGCGAGGGTTAAGGGCAACTGTTGCTGTGGTGCCCAGGACCTGAACAGCCCAGGATGGTGCCAGCTGTCATCTCTGTCTTGTCCTGGTCTGGGTGGTGCCACCCGCCGTGTCCCAGTTCATCCCAGAGGAGAGGAGCAGGAGATCTCAGGCAGCACCTTGGGAAGGTGAATGCCATGCCTGGTCCAGTCCTCCATCTGGGAGCCCTCCTGGCACCGCCAGGAATCAGCTGGAAAGCACAGCTCCCTTGGCCACTGTGGTGCTCGCAGCTTCCAGCAGAGGGTAAGGGTCTCTCTTACCACTGTGGGGGGATTTCAAACTGCAGGGCTCTCCAGCCAGCATCATTAACTGCACTAATTACTTGGCTGATGGAAGATGGGCTGGAGGGGGGTTGGTGGTGACAGCTGTGTTCCAGCTCAGCTCCTCCCGGGACTCCCTGAGTCTCACATCTATCCCTCAGGGCGTCATTAAGGCAATTAAAATGGGAAGTGTTAACAGCACTAGGGGCTGCTTTCCGGGTTCTGGCGGCTTCCCTTCCTCTTCCCCGTGGCTCCCTTTGCTCCTGCCTCAGCTCTGGGGCTTGGCACGGTGTGTTTAATATCTCTGCTTTTGTGTCTGGGAAGGTGGCTGG